TAAGCAATGTGGCAAAAGTCAACAAGAAATTTGACCCTCGAACGGTGGTCACGGTGATGGGACAGCCCTATTGAGCTACCCAGCGCTCCAGAAAAGCTAGTGCTACCGTTTCTGAAGTGCAGTTAGGTATGGGAATAGCTTCCGGCCACCTAGTTAATCGATGTACTCAGGTCAGTAGGTATACTGAGCTTTCGAAGACGGCAGATGAGCTACGAGGTCGACCTGCATGTGGTGAAAACGTGCATTTGTCGTGGGAAACGTTCCTACTGGGTTTTTCATGAGCTTATGCACTTTCGCGCATTGACACGGAAGGTAAGCATCTGCCCAAGTAGGAACGTCACGATTAACATTGCGCCAGACGAACCGTGTGCTCACGAGTTTAACCGATGCCCCAACTCCTGGATGTGATAAGCCGTGCAACATGTCGAACACGGTCTGTCAAAACTCGCGTGGGACGACTGGGCGCTGCGTGCCCAGAGATAAATCGTAATGTATAGTTCAGTCTGATGACGTCAGCGGAACGGATCGTATGTCCAATAAGGGAGACCTGCGTATTATATCAGCCTCAGGATTATTGAGTTGCGCTGCGGCCATGGCTGCCAAGTCGATAGCAGTGCCGGCGTCAGCGGAACTCACTTGGATGCGGGAAAGTGCATCGGCGACGGCGTTGTGCACACTTGAGACATGTCGTAGATCGGTCGTAAACTGAGCGACATAGTCTAGGTGGCGTGACTCCCTAGAAGAGTGCCGGTCAATAGTCGAGCTACGCACGCAAGTCAGGGATTTTTGCTCGGTGAAAACCGCTGCTCGGAGCAGCGGTCTTCTAAGACATGTCGGAAATGACGTATGGATAAATAAATGGCTAAACGTTCTCTACCGAACGTGCTGTGACGAGATTCGGCAGGTGGCAAACTTTTGGAGAAAAATGACGACGGCTCTCAAGCGTCACCTGCGTTTTGTCGTAAGACCGCCCCAACTTCCAAGTCAGAAGCGTCGGTACTGATCGACAGTGAGGCTGCCGGGTCGTAAGGCATTATAGAAGGTATGTTGGTAATAGCTTCTTTCAAAGCCTGGAAGGCGGCGCGTGCTGCAGCAGAAAAAGCGAATTGCGTAAGCTTCCCCCGATGAAGATCCGTGAGGGGTTGCATCAGCGGAGTGCAACTAGGTATGCAATGGCAATAAAGTTAACGAGGTCGTCAAAGCGTCTTAGTTCTTTGAAAGTGGGAGAGTCGATAATGGCCTAACTTTAATCCTGTAGTGACACTACGCCTGCAGAGGAGATACGACATCCAAGGAAGTTTACGGAGTTGACACCAAACGAACACATTTCTGCGTTGATCGTCACCGCGTGTTGAGCTAAACGAGCAAAAGGCGTTCGAACGTGGCGTAAGTGCTGCTTGCGTGAGGAGCTCGCGATTAAGATGTTGTCGTGGTAGGCATATGCGAAGT